ATTGTCACCACCATTTTCTCGAAGGGAAAATTGAGGCTCAAAAGGGGCTCAGTAAGATAAAAACATCACATATTAAGTAGAAGAACTGGAATTCATGTTCTTGGCTTTAAACAAATGGGCATTTATTGAGCGTATGCCATACGCCAGGCTCCATGGCAGGCACTGAGGATACAGAAAGCAGAACAGAGTACCTGAAATGCAAGGTAACATTACACCACAGAGTATCACGGGCCCCCTGAGAAGGTGAACCAATCCTGTGACAAGAGAAATGTTTCCCAGAGGGGAAGCTTGGTCCTGATGTTGCATGAGTAGAGGTCACATGAGACAGAAGCAATAGGGTTGGGGAAGCTTCCATATAGAGAAAAGGGACTGTGCAAACATGATCCATTGGAGGGAACTGAGAATGGCTTTGTGTGGCTGGAGCAGTCAGTGTGTTTTGATAACTGGCAATGGATGAGTTTGGAGAAAAATGTAGGGGTCATATTCAGATTTGAAAGTTTCTATGAATCTTCTAAGAGATTCCAGTTTAATTCTGAAATCGATGAAGAGCCAAGAAAAGTTTTAAGCCATGGAATGCCATGATTGTATGTGCTTTCAGGAAGATAATTTGATGGGTGAGCAGACTGAGGGAAGGAGACTGGTTAGGAGGCTGGCCCCATGGTCCCAGGGAGGAAGGCTGAGAGTGTGAACCAAAGCACGTCCAGTGGAGTGGGAGCAGCAACTCCTGCAGAGGAGAACTGAGTAGCTTCTGATCAAACTGATGTAGGAAGAGAGAGAAAGGAAGGAGGCTAGGAAGACGCCCTTGTGTCTGGCTTGGGCAGCTGGAGAATGGTGGTATCATTCACAGAAATAGGAAGAACAGAAGGGAGAACAGATTTTGTGGGGGAAGATGGTGAGCATGGTTTTGGACATGTTGAATTCAAGACGCACATGGGAAATCCAACTGGTGTTACTTAGTAGTCAGACATATGCAACAGGAGCTCACCAGGAAGCTCTAAGTGAAGTCAAAACCATGGCTGTGACTGAGCCTCTCATAGGAGAACATGTGCAGTTAGGAGAGAAGGGGCCATGATCAGTATGCTGGCGAGTGTCCACAGTTAAATAATGGACTGATGGAGAGGAGTTCAGCAAGGAAACCAAGAATGAATGAAGCGAGAACTAAGAGGGAGGGATCACATGGAGGCAGGTGCCGCAGCCTGTGGTTAGGAGCAGAAGCTTTGTGACTGAGACTGGCTTGGTGCTCACCAAGCCCATCTCTCCCTTCCTGGGCACATAAATAAGCTCCATTTCTCAGCCTCTTTGCAACTAGGTAGAGCCAGTGACTAGGGTTGCTACTGAATGTGAGATGAGGTAATGTGCAATTAAATGCAGGTGAATCTTCCTCAAGTTCTCCTTCCCATCCATTATCCCTTTGGAGGTCACATGTAAAAGGAACTCTGGAAGGAAAGTTCTCAGATTTTGAGTTTTATTAATTATACCAGCACAAACTAGCCTATCTTTCCTGCTCTTGGCTCTGGAGTCACACAGCTGGATTTGAATCCTAGCTCTACCTTTTGAATCCTGGCTTTACCTCTTGTCAACCGTGTGACCTTGGGTAAACTTCTTAATTTCTCTGTGCCTCAGATTCCTCATCAGTAAAATTGGGATAATAATAATATAGTTGTCTGAGGATAAAATAAGGTAATAAATATGAAGTACACTGACCAGTATTAAAAGCTCTAGAAATATTGAAAGTTAATGGAAAGAATGTCAGGAATGGGGGAATGGTTCACGACAGCAGTCAAAGGCACCCTGCTGCCTATTTTTATACGACCTTTCAGCAAGAATGAATTTTACATTTTTAAATGGTCAAAATAAATGACATGAAAATTATATGGAATTTGAATTTCAGTATCCACAAATAAAGTTTTACTGCAACAAAGCCACATTCATTTACATATTGTTATGGCTGCTTTTGCTCAACGATGGCAGAGTTTGAGTAGATGCAACAAATACCATATGGGCCCACAAAGCCTAAAATATTTACATTATCTGGTCCTTTGCAGAAGAAGTGTGGTGATCCCTAGTATACGGTGTCAAATGCAGCAAAGGTCAAGAAAGATAACTAAAAAGGGTTAACTGGAATTGGCAAAAGATTACTAGCGATCTTGTTAACGGCTTTATTGGAGTGGGGAAAGTGGAGAATAGATTTTGGTGCCAGGCAAATCAAAGTTTGATTCCTGACTCTACAGCTTGCTAGCTTTATGGTCTTGGGAAGTCAGCTAACTTTTGTGAGCTTCAATTTCCTTGGCAGTAAATTAGGGATTAACAGAGCTTACTTACTGAGTTATTGTAAGGATCAGCAATAATGCATGTAAACCATAAAACACATTCCTGGTTTAGAATAGGTGCTAAATAAATGCAAGCTTTTGTTTCATTTAATCTGCTGCAAACAAAATTGTCATTCCTTTATAGGAATTGCATTTTCACTTTTTAGTTTCTTAAAAGAATTTTTTTTTTCTGGGCTTTCCAGCAAAAACTAGAAAACCTGCTAGACAAATTCTAAAAGAGCTGTAACACTATATTTTCACTTTTAATATTTTAGTTTTCTCTTCCATCTTCTGATGATTTATGTTATATTTTAAGTCACTGCTCAAATCTCACCTCTTTAATGAGGGCATACCATTTAATACAGACCATCCTGATTAATGCGGTAATCTGTTCCTCCCCCAGCATTCCTAACCCCGTTACCCTGTTCTACTTTCTTTTCTCATACAGTTTATCACCTCTGACAGTCTAGAAAACTGACTAATTTACTATGTTTATTGTTTACTCTCTGTCTTCCCCACTCTGATGTTAACTCCTTGCCACAACAGCCCTTGCTTGTTTTACGTAATTATATTCTAAGTGCCTAAACAGAAACTGTTACACAGTTGGTGTCCAATTAATACTTGTTGAATGACTAAATGAAAAAAGAATAGATGAGGATTTAAAAAAATCCTGCTCAGGACTGGATATGTTCCTTCTATCTTGGAACTGGGACTTGTCTTATTCATCTCTGTAAAATTCTCAACTATTATCTGTTAAAATATAACCTTGGCTCCATCCCCTCCATTCTCTCATTCTGGAATTCCTTTTAGAATATGTTGAACCAATCATTTTATCCTCGATGTCTCCTAAGTTCTTTCTCATATTTGACAACTATTTAGCTCTGTGTTTTATTCTATGGCAATTTCCTCTACTCTATCATTAAGTCCCTTTTTAGCTGCATCTAGTCTACTATTCAACTGTTAATTGAATTTCTATTTCAATGACAATATTTTTGTATGTGCCTATAATGCCTGTTTCTTCCCTTTTTCTTTCTTCTTTTCCATTTGTTCATGTATTTGTTTCATGGCTTCTAATCTTCTGTTTCAATATTTTGGATATCCTTATACTATGATTTCTTTTAGATTTTTCTGTTCTTTCTAGTTCTTGGGGATGTGGAGTCTTCCATTTCTTTAACTAGCTGACTTCCTTGTTGTGGATCATTTCTTTGTGCAGTCTGTAATTTTAGATTGTAAGTAGTTGTTTTACATTAGCCTCTGCTGGGGTCTTATGGGTCCGCAACTGAAAAGGCTCCAAATACATATCATTGAATGGCCTGTCTTTGGAGGCTAGGATGGAAAGCAGTACATTGTGGCAGAGGCAGTACAACCTCTTTCTTTTGTAAATTGCCCAGTCTTGAGTATGCTAGAGAATGTGCCCTAAATTCACATCCCTACTGTGAAACTATTTATATAACCTTGGGTAAATTACTCTTCCAGTCCCTCTTTTTTTGTCTGTGATATAGAGATAATAATTCCTACTTTCTAGAGATGTTGTGAAGAATTGGTGAGTTAATATAAGAAACTCGGCACAACATTTTGCATGTAGTAAGTGCTTTATAGATGTTAAAAATTACTATAAACATGTGTAGCTATTATAGCACGTGCCAACATCATCTCCTTTCTTTGTGCTATAAGGAAAGAACTTTATACTCAAGAAAATAGCTTCTGAATATGTATATGAAATATACAGCCAGCCATTACATGGGGACATTGGCCAGATCTGTTTGCTTTACTTGTGATGAATATTAGTTAAAGATGGGAACAAAACCTCCCCCAAGAACATGTTCACTTGGCTTTTAGCCATTGCTGAGGAGCACTGATGAGAGGCAGAAGAAAGTTTTGTATATTTTTCTTTTTTAAAAATAAAGCCTAATTAGGGGGTTGGCTCATTTGCCAACTATTTTGGTTCATTAAAATATAGCAGCAGAGAGAGTTCTTCTGCTGAGAGGAAAATGACCCAGAAAAAAGTCTTCAGTTTTATTCAAAGAGAAAATGTATTTAACTTATTGGCTGTGCTTTCCTCGGTCATCATTCCCTTCCACAGGTTAGTGATATGGTTTGGCTCTGTGTCCCCACCCAAATCTCATCTTGTAGCTCTCATAATTCCCACAAGTTGTGGGAGGGAGCCAGTGGGAGATGACTGAATCATGGGGGCGGGTCTTTTCCATACTGTTCTGATACTGAATGGGTCTCACAAGATCCCATGGTTTCAAAATCAGGAGTTTCCCTGCACAAGTTCTCCGTTTGCCTGCTGCCATCCATGTAAGACGTGACTTGCTCCTCCTTGCCTTCCGCCATGATTGTGAGGTGTCCCCAGTCATGTGGAACTGTGAGTTCTCCATTAAACCTCTTTCTTTTATAAACTGCCCAGTCTCTGGTATGTCTTTATCAGCAGCTTGAAAATGGACTAATACAGTTAGCAATAAAATAGCAGAGCCCTGAACCTGTAGCTGATGCTCAGTAAATATTATTAGTTTATTAGTGGGAAGGGATAGAGACACAGGCAAATTCTTGGGCAAGAGAACCTCATTTCTATCCCATGTTAACTTTCGATGATAAACCTTTCTTTAATTCACTGTGTTTTGGATCTTTGGATAAGGGAGTGTCAAAAAGCCAAACTTAGTGAATGAAAGCTGTAGACTACTGTAATTTATCACGTAATATGTTATCAGTTATCTGTATATATTTCACAAAATGCGTTTTTATAATTCAAATTTTCATAAAACAAAGGTTCAACTTAAAAACATTTAAATAAAGAACTATTTTTAGATTTTAATTACCTGATCTTCATAATCAGATCCTGTATCAATGATCTCTCCTGTGTCCAATATCATTGAAGGATCAAGGTCACTTGAACCTAAGATTAGGAAAGAAAAGATAAGTGGATGGAGGTTGTCATGTATGTTTCTAAAGCAAACCGTCTCTCACTGGGTTTCCATATTTTCCTATGTTACATTAAATTCACAAATATTTCTGGACTCTTCTCATCTGCCAGGTACAATGTTTTGCTGGAGATTGAAAATGCAGAGACTCTGGACACTCTCTGCGTCCTTAAGAAGAAGAAAATACTGTGAGGAGGAATAATTTATCAACAAGAGGTTATTACTAAAGGTTCAGCAACCCAAGAGAGTGAGCTACTGATTCTGAATAGTAGTAGAGATGATGGTGGAGTTAATTAAGATTATTCTTCAGGTACTAATCTATGATCCTGAATTTTGACGGTAAATGCAGGTTGTCCAGGAGGGGGAGCAGTTTCAGGATTTGCAATAACAATGGAAGTAGAAGGAACACCATGAGCAAAGTACAGAGTGGGAGGAGACTAAGGGGCTTCCAGAAATAGGAAGGGCTAAGTTTGCTTACTCCATGAAAACTTGAGTTTTTCCTCAAGCCTTCAGGTCATCTTAGTTGCTGAAGGTAAGAAAAATCAGGTTAACTTAATGTATGAATAGAGAGATTATTTCCCTTAGGTACTACAGGTTTCATTAAATCACTCACCCATTAATCCCCAAGGCTCAGACTTAAACTGGTAATTTTTACAGTGGGACTTCTGAAGCACAACTGATTCATCATTCTTATTTAATAACTCTTTCCTGCTGGGAAATATATATCATCTAACTACCCAGAAAGACTGAATTCAGTGCTGCCCATAAAATATTATATATCCTGTGAAAAAACATTGTTTCACTGTAAACTAGGCCTTGGCAAATAATTCTTAGTCAGAATATGCAATGAGTAATGCATAATGAATATAAATTTTTAAAAAATGTTAAGCATCTCATACACTTCTCAGATATAGACCTGTCCCCGATGTTGCTTTCATATTTTCTTTCAAAATGAGTCGGGGTATGTCCTTACACAGTCTTTTCTCATCTCTTCTCTTTTTTCTCCCTTCTCTTCTCTTATCATTGTCCCTGCTGTCTACCAACTTGACAAAGTAATAGCCATTACAATGCCAGTGTTTACTGTGTTTATGTCTTTACATTTTTTTAAAGGATGACAAAGTTTTTCAAAATGGACATATTAAACCATCAAACCCTTTGGAAAAGTAATCATAGAGTTGCCACTAAGAGTTGCATAAGTGTGTTCAGAACAACGCTGGGTGATGCTAGTCACACTGTCAGCACAGCCCTTGCCAGACCACTGTTCATAAGGTGGTTGCTAGAATGGAGTTGGCAAGAATATCCACCATGCTGTTAACAGAGATCAGAAGGGAGAGGTGGGAAGCTTTAATTTACATATATATTTTGAAATTAGTGGGATTATATATAATTTTTCTACCTTTGAACTTTTGGTATTTTTTTCAAATAAAGAATTTTGCAAGATGTATCTTGGGGCCAAAATACTTGGCTGTCTTAAAGCTCAGTTTGAAGGTCAGTTTGCACTTATGTTGTGAGGCAGTAAGTATCAGAAAAAAAAAAAAAATATATATATTTTTATACATTATATTTA